ATGAGAAAAGCAATTCGTCTGAGGCGGAATCTGATAAAACTTGTCTTCAGCCCTGCAAACACAAAACAACAAAAAACAGGAACAAATAAAAAACTTTAGTGGCAAAATTCCTGTGCAACCTGTAGCCACTTATTTGTGCATTTATGGCATCATAAAAGACAGAAAAGTATGCATTTTACATCCTTCTCTTTTGTAATAGTACCCTTTGCACTGCAGTAGTTTCTTTCAGTGCAGATAAGACTTTCTAGAGACACTCCCAAAATAGAGACCGGGAATGCTAAGTATGCATAACCAGACTTGACGATGTCCTCTTAGTTCCCAGGTTCCTGTGGATACCTGCATGAGGTGCATCGCCTTGTCCTATTCACAAGAGTCTTAAGAAGTATTCTCATGTTGCTTCTTCTTCTTCTCATGCAAGTTGAAGTGTTAACAGAGAGAGAGAGGAAGAGAAATTCCTGCTAAGCCAAAACATTCATGTTGTCACTGCAGCACAGGTGAGACCACTGTTTGGGAATTCAGCCCGCGATGCAGGCCCATTCACTTGCCGCAGACTGTGGTAGCAGGGATGTGACTGATTTGTGCTGCGGTGCTAACAGAGCATTCTTGATTTACATTGCAGTGTCAGTACCGTAGCAGATGCCTGTGTCAGCAAACATCTGTCAGAGGCCTGAACCCTTCTACAGTCGATCTCAAGGATTTTCCCAGTGTCTTAACAGCCCGGCCACCTCCTCTCCCACCTATTGTTCTGTGGGCTAGTTTAAAGAACTGGCATCTTCTAGTTAGGTTGCTTTTGTGTTGTGAACTTGGTGTTTTGGTCAAATAACATCTATACAGTTATTTTGTTAATATGCAGTAGCGCATTCTCTAATGTAAATGGTAAATGGACTGCACTTACAGAGCGGACAAAGCACTTTACAGATTAACCCATTCACGCAATCACACACACACACTGGTGGCGGCGGAGCTGCCAGGCTACTGGGAGTGACTTTGAGTTCAATGTCTTGCCCAGGGACACTTTTATATGCAGACTGGGGAGAATGTGAATCAAACCACCCGCCCTATGATAAGGGGTTGACCTGCTCTACCCCTGTGCATGTGTCTTGTCAGAGAGTTGCTCTATGTAAAAATGCTTCATAACGTGGAGACATAACTCAAGGTGCTCTTGAACCGTAGCTTCCAGCTCTTCCATGCTTAAAATTACAAGGCACCTATTTTTGGCGCCTGCCCAATTGACAGCATGACCCTGAAACCCTGACCTTTACACAGCATGACCTCCACAGTCCGATAATAGAGACAGGAAGGTATTATGGGTGGGGAAGCGAGCGAAGGAGTGCAAGGGGTCAAGCCCAAAATGATGCATTCAGGCCAAACAGCAGAGAAGAAGGCCACTGTGGTCCCCTCCAGACAATAAGGCCTCAGTTATCGGTCTATAATTTGGCCAATTGATTACCCCAGTAATTGTTACCATAATGAGGTAGTGTAGATAGCTGGCTGCTAAGACTGCTTGCGATCATATTTTTATGCCCAAATGACTCAACATGAAACATCACAGGTGTGACTGTTGCAGCAGCAGTACAGTGCATATGTGCTGGTGTTTCATCTGCATTTGCATAAAAGCATCTGTCAACCAATATGGAGTGGCTTGAAAAAAAATAAATGATATTGTCATGTTCTCAAGGTTACTAAATCCTCTTGTAAATCTTCCAGAATTATGTATAAATCATTACTTGTGGCTATGTTCGCTGTATGTCCCATAAAGGACAGGTGCTTTCTAGCCCTGCAGGATCCTAGAGAGAAGCTCATATCAGGGTCAGCGAGCCCCGTCTTGTGCTCTGATGGGTACATCCACAGCCAGGGGGTAGCCAAGGCACATAGTGAGATCAGATCAGAGCATACCAGCCGACACAGACGATATTAAGAGCAGTTAGCACAGAAGGGGAAGACCAATTATATGCTTGTGTGTATGTGTGTGTTGATAGATTAGGTCAGAGAATATGTCAACATCAATAGTAAGGGGTTGTACATAGTTCAGTGGTTTGCCCTGAGGGGGAAGAGGGCTGGCTGAAGAAGGTCTGGTGTTTGACTTTTATTAAGTTTTTAATCACCGTGATCCATGAGAGGTTTATTTTCACAAAACTTTATAGTTTGACCACATCTCGAAAGACTATATATTTTTGACAAAGTGTGAGACAGCAGTCTGTGCAGTGTCAAACCACATCTCATCTGTGACTGTAGCCCTCTTTGTCTGCTGCTCGACC